AGCTAGATAGGCCTTGGCTGGTCTAGGGTTTAGCTCCAGAGCTTCCCCCTGATCAGATCGGGTCTTTTGGAACCAGATAGTCTGTTGGGCTGGTGCTAGGATCTTTTGTATTAAAAAGATATCCCAGTGAGCCTTTTGGGGATGATTAGTTCTAAAACTGAAATCCCTGGCTGGATTCTGAAAGTCTTCATATCTTGATATCTCTGATAAAGAGATTGAGGCTGCTATCTGTCTGAAATAATCAAAATCTAGAAAGAGCTTATTAGCCAGTTGATCTGCAAGATCCTGAATTATCCGGTAGAAAAAGCTCTGCAGCTCCCGCTATGAGATCAGTAGAGCTCAATACTTGAACTGATGGGGACCCACTAGAACTACCTGACCTAGGACTGTGCCATTACGGATCAGGAATAGTGCTAGATTTCGATGGCCCAGCAGGATCCCCAGGGATGTCTCTGCCTGGCTGGTACAGTATCGGGTCATCCATTCCCTGATATATTCACTCATGGGCTCTGGGGGCTGGGTCTGATCTATATATATCTCTTCATGTACATAGATCAAAAAGATAAACTGAAAGACTTTTAATATTGCAGAATAGATATGGCTAATCTGACTGATATATTTAAAGCAGCCACGGGCATAATCCCTACTAAAGCAGGCCAGAAAGGCATAGAGAGGACAGGTGAATTGATTCTTTAGCTATTTCTCTACCAGGGCTCGGGCTAGATCCTGGACCAGATAGGCTCCTTTTTGAATATCCTGTTTCCTAAATCGGCTGACTCGGTGATTTGGGGGTCTAAAAAGCTCTAGCTTTGATTCACTGTCTGAAGAATCTGACCATTCTGCACCTGGCTGAGCACCTGGCTGAGCACCTGGGTGAGCACCTGGCTGAGCACCTGGCTGAGCACCTGGCTGAGCACCTGGGTGAGCACCTGGCCGAGCACCTGACCGAGTACCTGACCAAGCACCTGGCTGACCTGGCTGACCTGGCTGAGAGCCTGCTTCAAGGTCTCTGTTTTGATTCTCTAAATCGTGATTCTCTTGATCAGAATCAGATTCTGATTCTAGATGGTCCTGCCAGTCCGGCTGGAGAACCCTGAAGGGGGTGGCCCCAGCTGGTTGGGTCTGGTGTGGCCGGACCTGAGCTAGGAAGGTCTCCAGGGCCTGTAGGATATCAATTTCAGGGGCCGCTAGCTGATAGAGATGGTGGACTGCCTGGGGGCTCTGGGGCTCCTGGGTGATCTGATCTTGATAGGAATTCAATAGAAAGATTAGAAAAGCTCAAAAGATATAAGTATAGTTTAAAAAGATAATTGGGCTCTGGAGAGGTCTAAAGCGCTTCATAGAGGAATTATCTCTAGTAAATGAATTTAAGGCAAATAATGCCTGGGTTGGGGTCTGAAATAGCTTCTGCTGGCCATTCACTAGAATAGAGTGTATTATATCAAATAGGGCCTCTGCCTGATCATGGTCCTGCTGGTCTATAGTAAATAGACCCTTTAGGGTATCCAGATCCCGGCCATCCAGAAATATCGGATATCGGGTCTCCAGGTGGAAGGAATTGGCCTCATCTGGGGTTCCATAGACCCTAAAGACCCTTGTGGTAGCCAGGTGCTGTTCCAGAGCTCTATGAGTGTGTAGGAATTGACTTGCCAGTTGATCTGGATCCGGTGATATTGGGGTCTGGGTCTAGTCCACAAGGGGTCGGCATTCATAGAAGTATGGAGTGAAGTGGAGCCGACGGCGGCCGCAGATTGGCGGAGCGGGTTAGGGTTTTTTCCTGATCAAGTATCATGGATTGAAGCACTTTAAGTATGATGCTAACTTAACCATAAGGCTGATCTGGTTGAAATTAATATAGATTAGAGATCACTACCGAAATTTATAGTTAGCAAATTTTCAGATCAAAATCCTATGGTTTACAGTGGTAGTGATGGATTAAAGTGGTCCATAGTATTCCATTTAAAGTTTATTGGGGTAAGACCTGACCGGCTGCAGATTCCCGTTAATCATCCATAATCATGTCCAGCAACACCAGCAGCTCCAGCAGAACCCATCCAGGTTATATTTTCATTCCAGACTAGATTTATCCAGCAAGAGAATAATAGATATAATATAGTATTGATTTACCAGTTAGTGCAGTAAATCCAGCATTGTCATTCCCATCCTAGTCCACAAGGGATCGGCATTCATAGAAATATGAAGTGAAGTGGAGCTGACGGCGGCCGCAGATTAGCAGAGCAGGTTAGGGTTTTTTCCTGATCAAGTATTATGGATTAAAGCACTTTAAGTATAATGCTAACTCAACCATAAGGCTGATCTAGTTGAAATTAATATAGATTAGAGATCACTACCGAAATTTATAGTTAGCAAATTTTCAGATCAAAATCCTATAGTTTACAGTGGTAATAATAGATTAAAGTGGTCCATAGTATTTTATTTAAAGTTTGTTAGGGTAAGACCCGACCGGCTGCAGATTCCTGTTAATTATCTATAATCATATCCAGTAACACCAGCAGCTCCAGCAGAACCCATCCAGGTTATATTTTCATTCCAGACTAGATTTATCCAGCAAGAGAATAATAAATATAATATAGTATTAATTTATCAGTTAGTGCAGTAAATCCAGCATTGTTATTTCTATTCTATATTATACCCGTAATGGCGTCCATTATTTCAGATTCTGTATCTGAAGATAACCAGTCAACTATATCCCGTGTTGAATCAGGGATAATAATATCCTGTATTAAGATATATATTTTATATTACTTATTCCCGATTCTGTTGGCTTTCCATTTCATTTCCCATTATCCATTCCCTGTACAGGATCTATATCAACATTGTCTATGGAACACCCGATATTTCAGAAGCTGAACAGATTACCTGTAATTATTTATAAAACATGTCAGCATGGTATATGGCCCAATGAGATTATATACCATGTCAAAAATATAGCCCACAGTAAGAAACACGCCAAGGCGATCCAGATCCAGTATATAATCCAGCAGTGGAAGGATATTACCCCGTGTACAGAGAATATTAAAATCCCCCACCAGATTAATCAGGCATTTCCCAAGCTGTCTATATACCTGGACAGGTTATTATGTTGCCGTGATTACCCCGGCTGTTAGTATATTAGACAGAGCTTGAAGAGCATGCACAATCACTAGCAAACAGTTTATAGATAATTCCAGCATGCCTGAGGAAGCCAAACAACGCGTGAGTAGCGATAATCCCAGGAAGCAGAGCTATAGCAGTTATATATCATTATAACATGCCAGCAGATATTCCTGTCCCGCAAAGAATCCTATTATATCCATGTACACGGGGGCCATGAGAAAGAACTGTACATTCCTGTGTGCACGGAGCAGGTGAACCAGGCAATCCAGCAGGTGATTACCGCGTGGGAGGTAATAAAGATCCAGACTGGTTCTACCGGGACCAGAGAGATCCGTGATGCCAACCCGTGATTACAGGTGACCGGGTGGACCCAGTATTTGCAGGAGTTTACCATCCCCAGCAATTTCAAGATATTGCGTGCCATGGTGGCCACCCTATTGCCTAACACAGATAACCCCGTGGAGCAGGGCATGCAGCAGATGTAGGCGGCCATGGAAGGCATGGTACGCAAGAGCCAGTGGACTGTACAGCATACCGGGCAAGCTATCCGGATTGAAGCCGTGCGGTCTAAGAAGGGCCAGATCCTGTATCATCTGTTGCTAGCATATATGGATGCAGACAGCATGGCCAAGCATGTCTAGCCATGGCAGCAGATATTGGCATTCATTACCCGCACCTAGGTGCCATGCACGGAGAAGAGTCCACTATATGGAATGATACCGTGACAGCAGAAGAAATGGCGGTAGCTATAGCAGATAGCCACTGCGGGTTCCCCCACTGAGAAGGAGAAGCAGGAGAGGGATTCCAGGAAGAGCAATCCTGAGCACAAGCAGTAAATAATGAGTGATATAGAGTAGGCATGTTTAGAGTTTTATATTAAGCTGATAAACCAGACATACCATGCCCAGGAGTATAAGAGTGTACTGATATATGCCATGGCTGTGCTGGGCTGGGGGAAGTTCAGCTGGCAGGATCCCGAGAGCTATCTGCCAATTTTGTCCTGGGTGATCAAGATTGCCCGGTTCATGATTATCCAGAAGACATTGTGGCTGGATCCTGATATACTAGTGATTATCGAGACATGGCAGAAGCCGCAGAATTGCGCTAAGTAGACATTACACAGCGCCGCGGCTGTGAACAATATTAAGGCCAATTCCGCATACGGCAGCGGGGTGGAGAACGAATACAAATCCCTATTATCCCCACTAACATTGCCTATGCAGCATGGGAATCCCGTGTCCCGGATCCAGTAGAGTCAGAACCCGTCCTGCAAGATATTCCAGGAGCAGGTGACATGGATGGTCAGCCAGTTAATGGTCCGCGGCACACACATGCTGATGGAGATATTACAGGATTGGCAGATATACGGGTTGCGTATCCATTACAACACCATAATCCCCAGGCATGTGACATGGATATAACCGGACCGATTGTTATACAAACATATCCAGTTCACCATAGGCGATTTCCAGGGGTTCGTGCATGGATTGACCAGGATAACCCGGCAGATATTATGCCGGGAATTGATATTTGGCAAGACTCCTGCCATTCTGTAGCACGTGTTATATGACAATCCCACACAGAGCACTGTAGAATAGAGCTTTTTGCAGGATCAACACACCCAATAGCCAGTGGAGGGCCCACAGTGGATCATAGAGCGAGTCCAGGCTGAGCCTAACTAGCCCACAACTATGCTATACCCGCTAATCCAGGTTCAAAAAGACGGGCGCTAATTGGCTGTCATATTTAGGGTTTAAGTACAGGTTTTCCAAACATTTGGAGAACAAGTTTTCCATAAAAGATGGACTAGTTAATATCAAATTTTAGACAGTTACTTTAACTGCCCTAAATTATATTTGGTTCGCTTTGGAGATTAAATATCTGTAATTTGAAGATATGGTGATAGTCAGAAGTTGCCTATATTAAACAGTTGCGGGTTTGTTGGGGTACCGGGTAGGTGCCGATCAGCAGCGGGCAACTATCACCAGCTGTAATATGATTATATGGCAGGACTGTCAAACAAATCCATACAATTTTATTAACTAATTCTATTATAAAGAGAGCAATGTATCCAGTATCTGTATTGAATATAATCCAGTAAACAAGTGTCCCCGTTCTATCCATTTAATTTAGGCCCAATGCCCACCACTGATTATGAAACATTAGGGTTTCACACAATATCTTTATAGTTCAGTAAGTTAACAAGTCATTATTGTCCCGCGACAGATCAGGAGTAATATTAGCAGCAATTAAGATCATATATTTATTTAACTATTCTATATCCCATTATTTCATGTTTTCCATTTCCCGTGTATTCCCATCTATTCCCATATCCACATCATCAATCCACCATCCACCCACATCAAGAGAACCCCGCCATAGAAGGCCGTGAATATTAATTATTCCAAAAGCTGGAAGAGTTGCCTATTATTATTTACTGATCATATCAGCATGGTGTGTGGCCCCCTGAGATTATTCATCATTTAAAAAGCAATGCCCATCGCATGAAATATGCTGATACTGTCCAGATCCACAACGCGGTGCAGCAGTGGGAGGGAATTACCCAGCAGCCTGATACAGTAGTGATTCCACACCACGTGGATCAGGCATTGCCCGGGTTGCCCATATATCCTGATGGCATGTTATGCTAACAGGATTATTCCTGATATCAATATATCAGCCGGAGCGTTTACAGCATGCAGAACTATTGGCAGAGTGTCCATGGATAGTCCTGGTTTCCCCGAGGCAGCTGTATTCGCCGGGAGCAACATATCTAGCAAGAGGCTGAGTTACGGCAGTCATATATTATTGTCACATGCCAGCAGATATTTCTATCGCGGACCGGATCACATTTTATCTATGTGCAGGCGGCAAGGGCCGAGGAGCTATTGATTCCCATGGACACAGCAGATATTGACGCGGCTGTGGGTGAGATCATGACCGCGTGGGAAGAGGCCGAGACTGAGAAAGCCCAGTAGACTGTCCAAGCTGTAGAAATCACTGATACCAATCCATGGTTACAGGTGACTGGATGGACCCAGTATTTACAGGATATTGCCTTTCAGGATATATTGAACAGCATGGACCCACCTGACCCTGAGTCCATAGACCCCATTGAGCAGGGGATCCGCCGGTTGTGGGACACCATAGAGCAGGTGGTGCACAAGAGCCAGCGGACGGTGGACCACAGTGGCCAGGCTATTTGCATCGAGGCAGTACGGTCCGAGACCGGGCAGACCCCGTATCAGCCATTGCAGATATACATGGATGCAGAGAGCATTATCAAGCATGTCCAGCTGTAGCAGCAGATTATGGTATTTATCGCCCGCACGCAGGCCCCGCATACATGGAAGAGTCCATTGTATAGTATGACATCCCGGCAGCGGAAGAAGTAGCGGCAGTTGTGGCAGTTGGCTATCTAACCTGATCCCGAGCTGATGGAATCCCGCTATCCCAAGGAGGTTCTGTGGGAGATAAGTTGGATAGAGGGTGTATATTTAGATTTTTACATCAAGTTATTGAACTAGCGGCCATACAGCCACGAGTATAAGAGCGTATTGGTATATACTATGGCAGTATTGGGCCGGGAACCCAATAGATGGCAGATCCCTAAGATGTATCCCCCTGTGTTGTCCCGGGTGATCAAGGTCACCCGCATAATGATTATGCAAAAGGCATTATAGTTAGATCCATACCCTGAGAAGATTATTGCCATGTGGTGCAAGGAGGGCTATTGTGCGGATTAGATGTTAAACAGTGCTGATGATATATTAGCTGAGATTTATACTGATAAAGGATATAGCAGCAGTAAGGAGTCCCGGTGGATATCTCTATCATCCCTGCCCACATCCCCAATAGCCCGCGGGGACCCCCCACTGATCACCGATATCCCCAGCGGGGCCCCATCCCGTCCGAAGATGTTCCAGGAACAGATACAGTGGATAGTGCAGCGGTTCATGGTCCGCGGGACCCATGGCCCGATGTAGACATTACAGGATTGGCGGATATTTGGGTTGCGGATCCATTACAACACCACATCCCCCGGCCATGTGATGTGGATGCACCGGGACCAGTTGTTGTACCAGCATATCCAGTTCATGATAGGCGATTTCCGCGGCATGGTGCATGGATTAGTAGGGGCCATACAGGAGATTTTGTGCGAGTTATTGTATATAAAGCGCCAGGAGGCCATGCCCGCCATCCTGTAGCAGGGATTGTATAATGATCCCATCCAGGGTAAGGCAGGGTGGAATTTTTTGCAGGATTCCCACATGTCATGGCCCGTGGTAGGGCGGTCATACATGATCCAGCGGGTGCGGGCCAAGCTGTCCGTGCAGGTACAGTTCACGGTCCACTGCCAGCCCCGGCGATTGCATGCCCCCGCGGTCATGCGATATTTGCACTGGGTCACGCAGTTCAAGGAGAAGTTGGCCGTGTTGATCCATATGGTGGCCGGGTAGCCCAGCCGGGCCCCCGAGTTGTTAAGCATCCAGCACAGCAATACAGAGACTAACTGACGGCGGAATATATATATTGAAGACAGGATGGTCACATTGGTCACTGCATACCATAAGGGATTTTATGCTAGCAATAATATGAAGATCATTCACTGATATATGCTGCAGGAGATAGGGGAGTTGATTGTATAGTATTTATGATTGGTATTGCTATTTGTCTAGCAGCTCGAGGCGTGGTACTGCTGTCAGATATCCTCCAGGTCCAGCCCCTGGGGCGCGAAGGCCCGCGAGGCGCATATATAGAGCCCTGATCCCAGCACGCAGCGGGTGTGGATATCAGAGCAGTTCCATAAGATGTTGAAGCGTGAGACCAGTACACGGTTAGGCCAGGCCATCAACATTGCCGTGTACTGGGACATTGCCATTAGGATCAGCTGGCAGTTCATGCGGCCGTCCAGCGCGTTTGCCAGCAACATGCAGGAGGAGCAGAAATTGGCGGCGGCCGCATTGAACGCGGACACAGAGAATGGCATAGATAAGAAGCAGTGGATAAGCTATATTACTAATTTGCAGGCAGTGTATTCATTATATTTAGCGGGGATGGTGTACGCGCGCGGCATCATGGAGCAGGCCGGCACCACTGAGCACCGCCAGGCCATATTTTAATTGTCCAGTATTGATTGGCACCAGTTTTTAGGGTTCACATCCGCCGCGGTGTTGGGGCCCGGGATCAGCAAGCACAAGCAATCCCCGTGGGAGGATAAGGCCGAGAAGGACCGGACCATGCAGCAGCACTGGTTAAATATTATGGACATGCGCACCGCGTTGCAGCGGATAACCGGGTCCGAGATAATTCAGTTCCGCGGTATACAGGCCCCTGCATTGCGGGCAATCCAGGATGGTGAGAGCCCCGTGGTGGCAGTGATGCCTACCGGGGGGGGCAAGAGTATGTTGTTCATATTACCCGTATTCGCGGAGCCCGGGGGCGTGATAATTATAGTAATCCCATTGATATTATTGCGTCAGGATATAATCTGGCGGTGCCAGGCATTGGGCATATTATATGTATCGTGGAAGAGCTGTCGGCTGCTAGACAAGGCCACAATTATATTGGTCACACCCGAGTCCGCCATGACTGAGGATTTTCAGACATTCATTAACTGATTGCACTAGACCCGGCAATTGGACCGGATTGTGATCAACAAGTGCCACATGATATTGAATGACCAGAAGGATTTCCGGCCTGAGTTACGGCAGTTAGGCCAGTTAAACCATGCCTGTATATAGATAGTGTTGTTGACCGCCACGTTGCCCCCCCGGTTGGAGACCCCATTGTTCCGTTGGATGGGTTACACCCGGGAGCAGGTAAGCATGTTCCGGGCGTGGACCAGCCATCCTAATATAGTATATCGGGTGTGGCAGCCTGTGGTCCCCTGTCCGGCGGCTGTGTGGTTTGAGACCGAATCTGTGGTGGCATTCATCCGGGAGCGGATCCAGCGGGCCAGCAGCGGAAAGGTAATCATATATAGCCATGCAGTAAGCCATATCACGGGCATTGCCCGGGTATTGGAATGTGAAGTGTATTACAGCCAGCAGATTAATAAGCTATCTATATTGCACTGGTTTACATAGAGAGAGACCACAGTGATTGCTGCCACCAGTGTATTAGGGATAGGAGTAGACATTCCCGATATCCGCAGTATTATCCACATTGGGATGCCGCGGACATTGTTGGATTATGCACAGGAGAGTAGACAAGCCGGCCGCGATGGTCACTGCAGTGAGGCTATCATTATCCAACCTGCTGGGATGACCCCCTGCGTGTCTCCCGAGGCCGAGGATGCCGCCTATTACAAGTTGGTCCAAGAATATATGGATGTAGTGGCGGGTGTGGGATGCTGACAGTATATATTGGATAAATATTTAGATGAGACTGTGGATAGATATTATCAACAGCAGTGCCGGGATGTCAATGTTGATGAGATCCCGTGTGATGGATGCGATCCCGATTGGGCAGCGCAGGAATCCAGGGTTTCTCCCAGGGTAATTGAGGGGGATGATGAGACCAGTTCCAGTCCCTCTAGTGAAGCCTCATCACCGCGGGTTGTCCCGTTACCCACTGTTCCCCCCAGGGCCCATCACGAGACTGTCTCCCAGGCCATAGACTGTGCCGATCACACGTCCTGTCCTGAACCATTATCCCGCCCGGAGGAGAGATCACAGGATGGTAGGGCACTGGTTAGCATCCAGGAATGGCAGTAACAGCACGTGCAGATCCAGTGGCAAGCGGCCCCCAAGATCCAGCAGCGGGAGCATAATTCCCAGCAACAGTTGAACAAGGAGTTTATTGAAGGAGAGGCCGGGCAGTGGATCCAGCAGTGTTATATATATATCATGGCTGGCTGGGAACAGCATGAGCATGAGTTGATATTTTGTCAGGAACCCTGGAGTGCCATTACCAAAAAATGGATACAGGACATCTGCAAGATCGGGATCCAGTTTACCGGATTCAGTGCATGTTTTTGGTATTATATACCCTAGTCTATATACCAGGGATAGCGGAGCGGCGGGAGAGATTGTGTATACCGGGATATATTATTATCCATGGTAGCCATGATATTCTATCAAGCAACTTCAAGGCACGAAGCACACAACAACGGGGCGGCTAGCCATTGTCACAATACATCAAATGGTAGAGCCAGATCCCAACTAACTGAATCTGGTCGCAGTTTATTTTTAGGATTTTTGTGTGGATTATGGGAGGCATTTGAAGTTGACGACTCGCAGCGGATGTCGTGGCACGAAATTCCCAAATAGGCAGGGCAGGATTCCACGCTAGCCTATTTGGGAATTTCGTGCCACAGGTGATTGTCATTGATGCCGGCCCGGAAGTGGCTGTTTTTTATACTCAGTACAAAGTGCTTACTGTTCTTATCCGCCCTTCTTGATCTCAGCGCGCCTCCGGCTGTGTAGCGGCCAGGAGA